AGTCCATGTACCGGGAGTCGGGCTTCCAGGATAAGGAGGAGCTGACGTGGGAGGATTTCCACTTCATGCTGCGGGACCATGACAGCGAGCTCCAACGCACTCAGCTCTGCGTCAGAGGTGGAGGTGGAAGTACGTGAGTATGTAAGAAATGGTAGGGGGCACCTGGGTGGCTCAGTCAGTTGACTTTCACTCAGGTTATGATCTCACAGTTCGTGAGTTCAAGCCCCACGTCTGGCTTTGTGCTGACAGCTCAGAGCCTGGAGCCTGCTTTGGATTCTGCGTCTCCCTCTCTCTCTACTCCTCCCCATTCATTCTCTCTCTCTCTCTCTCTCTCTCTCTCTCTCAAAATAAATAAACATTAAAAAATTAAAAAAAAAAAAAAAGAAATGGTAGGAGTCAGGGAGGGACGTGTCTTCAAAATGAGAGCTACTGGTGGATAGGAGTCAGGTTTTATTTCTCTTCAAGTCTTTTGTGCCTAGTATAGAGCCAGGCACGTGTAGTCAAGGGTGTCACATACATGTGCACTGCACAAACATGCCTACTGAGAGGTCAAGGGTGGTCTGAAATCCAGCCTACATGCCACTTACTAAGCTCATGCACATTGGTCTGGGGTGTAGCTAGTCAGAAGAAGAGGCGTTATTTTCTTTATACAAAAGATGCAGGAATGCATCTGCCTGCAGTTTTCTAATTATACCAAGTTACCCCCTTGTTTGCAATGGGTGCCCATTGTGGGCAGTGAGGGGAACAAGGCTGGAACAAGAGATGAGAACATGGCAAAATCACTGGCAATTGCTGTGGCAGCCTTCCCGGAGAAGAGAGGGGGGCAGTCTACCTTTCTTCTACCCTTGTGGGGAAGCCTGTCCAGACTCTTGTTCTTCTCTCCAGGTGTTGGAGACATCTTTAAACCAAACATCAGCTGTCGAGTCTCATTCATCACTCGGACTCCTGGGGAACGGTGAGCAGGAATGGGGGCACTGGCAGGTCCCCTTGTCCAGGTCCCCTGAAGAGAAATGAAGGAAGTAGGGCTGGCTGAATCAGTTCCTGGGACCAGATATTTTTCCTCTGAAAGTAGCTCTTAGTACATAATTGATCCTGGCCCAAATTCCAGCTGCTTCCCTCATGCCATGTGGCTCAGGATCCTAGCTGTCTCCCTAACACTTCAAGACAGAATCCTTCTGTAAGACAGATGACCGCATCATATTCATTCTGCCTTGCCTCTCCTACCTGGCATCTCTCTGACCAGATTTATGGGCAGGTTCTGTGGGCAGGGGTGGGTTCCAGGATTCATCTCCATCCTCTGAAGTTCTGACCTGGTGATTCTTCTCCTGGCTGCAAAGACAAGGGGAGAATGAGCCCATTTTTCCTTTCTCAGATCCTGCTCTCAGGAACTAGGGCTCCCTGCCTCAGAAGCCCCAGAGCTGGGAGGTCCGGTGCTGAAGAAGAGGTTTGGCAAAAAGTAAGTACTTTCTAGACCCCCAGGCCCAAGGAAATATGGGGAGAAGTCTCGGAGTCTCTGGGCCCTGCCCACCCTTCCTGGACACACAAGGGACCATCCTGTGTCTCGTTCTATGTGTCTCTGACCTGATTGGTGAGCCATAGAGTCAAATAATTCTTCAACATCTTCCAACCTCTGCACCCTAACCTTCAGGAAAGGGGCCTGGCACTCAGATGCAATACCAAGATGGCAGTAAGGGCTCTCCTGGCTCCTGCCTGCTTTGGGCACATCAGTGAGGCCCGTTCAGGGAGCACCAAGAGGGAAGGACAGAACACACAGGAGGAAGATGAGGTGGAGTAGGGGGAAGACAGAAGAGCAGGTGGATGGAGCAAATAAAGATGAGCGCTGAAAGTTGGGGGCGGGTAGGAGTCTACTCCCCAAATGCTGTTTCCTTCATCTGTTCTGGCCCATCCTGACCCCTGCCAGGTTATCATGTCTCCTTCATGGGGTGGCATTTAGGGGAGGTCAGGGTGCCCTGGTCTCACGGCCAGCTGCCTCCCGTTGCTGCAGGACAGTGGTGCCCCCTCCCCGGCTGTACACGGAGGCACTGAAGGAGAAGATGCAGCGGGGCCCCCTGGCCCAGAAGCTGCGACAGTACAAGCGCTTTGTGGAGAACTACCTGCGGCACATCATGTGTGTGGCGGTCTTCTCTGCCATCTGTGCTGGCCTGTTTGCAGAGCGTGCCTACTGTAAGAGTTTCAGCTTGTGGGCGGTGGGAAGGGGCATGTAGAGCCTTCTGGCTGCTCTTCCCACTGGAGCCCAGGCGTTCTGACCCAGGCCAGGGACCCCAGCCTCTGTGCCATGCTGATCCACCCACACCCCCTCTCCAGATTATGCCTTTGCCTCACCACCCTCGGGCATCGCACAGACCACCTTTGTGGGCATCATCCTGTCCCGGGGCACGGCCGCCAGCATCTCCTTCATGTTCTCCTACATCCTGCTCACCATGTGCCGCAACCTCATCACCTTCCTGCGCGAGACCTTCCTCAACCGCTACATACCCTTCGACGCCGCCGTGGACTTCCATCGCTGGATCGCCATGGCTGCCGTTGTCCTGGCCAGTCAGTGGCTCCTGGGAATCCTCCCCATTGTTGCATTCCCCTGGGTCTAGCTGTGGGGGGGAAGAGTGAGGAGATTGGAGCTACATAGACTCCCATCTCTCCTCCCTGTGCCTCCTCTGTTCCTCAGGGTGGGAGGTAGAGTCGGCCCTGGGTGGCATCTCTAACAGAGTCTCTTTCAGTTTTGCACAGTGCTGGCCATGCAGTCAATGTCTTCATCTTCTCAGTCAGCCCCCTCAGCCTGCTGGCCTGTGTCTTTCCCAACGTCTTTGTGAATGATGGGTCAGTTCTGGGGAGGGTTCCCCCATGGGACATTTGGGGCAGGCCAAAGGGTATAATGGAAAAGACATAGATGGCCCTCAATACTCTACTCTCACTGAATGAGAGTGAAGAGCCTGCTGGGGATGCTGAGAGGTGACTTCCTTGCCCTGGAAGGAAGTGGCCATGATTAGCCAGGCAAGATGTTTGGGAGATGAATTAGAGACTGTTTCCCACATGTACCTAACACAGAACTTGGAATCTTAGCCTACCATTCATTCACTGGGCAAACATTCATGGAGTACATCATACATGACCATCCAGGTGCCAGAGAATAGACATGCTAGATTCATGCAGTCATTCAGCAAATACTTGTTGAGTATTTACTACAAGCCTAGCATTGTTTGAGCATAGGGATTAGAACAATGAGCAGAACCACACCCTTGCCCTCATGGAGCTTACAGAATGTGAACCGAGCACCCAAGGAAGCAAATAGCAGTAAGAGAGTTCAAGATAATGCAGAAGGAAGAATTGCCAAGAAAGCAGAGGGTGGAACTGTGGGTGGCTGGGTGCCATGTTCCTTGGATGGATCCCTGGCCATCTGAGTGGAGGCCCAGTAACCTCAGCAGTCAGGGCCAGCAAAAGCAGAATCACATTGTGACAGTGGGGAAGCCAATCCTGCCCCAGCTAGAAGCTCATATACCTTTGCCCTACAGGTCCCAACTTCCCCAAAAGTTCTACTGGTGGTTCTTCGAGACAGTCCCAGGTAGGGAGTAGGGGTGTATGTGGGGCCTGGGGGTTCTATCTGAGGACCTCTGTTTGTCTTCATCCTCCCATGAATACATACTTGTCTAGTGGTCGTGGTTCCCTTTCTAGTCTCCAGGACAAGCCTCAGCTGCAGCCCCGGCAGACAAGCTGTTCTGGGGGCCAGGGAGATCAGAGAAGGAGGGTAGACTGGGGGATCGCTGTCATATTCTCAGCCCATGCTGAGGTCCCAAAAGTATTCTCTGACCCTGTCCCCGCTGCCCCCAGGCATGACAGGGGTGCTCCTGCTCGTGGTCCTGGCCATCATGTATGTGTTCGCCTCCCACCACTTCCGGCGCCGTAGCTTCCGGGGCTTCTGGCTGACCCACCACCTCTACATCCTGCTCTATGTGTTGGTGAGGGATTCTCTGGGCAGGGCCAGTCCACGGGGGCAGGGATGAGCACTCATAATGGGGGTAGGGAGCAGGCTTAATTGGACCTGAGAGCAGAGACCCCAGCCTCTGAAGTCTATGGTGGCTTTATCTACCCAGCCCAGGCCCAGGGTCCGGGCAAGAAGTGTCTGGGCAAGGGAGGGTGCAGGGAGGGGCCCGGCTGGGCCTGAGCTGTACTAACTGGCCACGTCTCCAGCTCATCATCCACGGCAGCTTCGGCCTGATCCAGCTGCCCCGTTTCCACATCTACTTCCTGGTCCCAGCACTAATCTATGGGGGGGACAAGCTGGTGAGCCTGAGCCGGAAGAAGGTGGAGATCAGCGTGGTGAAGGCGGAGCTGCTGCCTTCAGGTACCAGGCCCAACATGACCCCAGGTGGGAGGCATTGG